GTGGTGTTTGTATTAAGGAGAGATCCCTATCAGCCTTGGACTTCATCTTTCGAACTGTCGAGGAGTGCTAAACTGAAGGGTTGATAACTTTATCCTTTCCTTGGGAGGGGGCCCCTAGCTAAATCTTCTTCTAGTCTTTTTTAAGACCTAAGTGCATACTGATATAGGGCAAAGTTGAAGTTTTCATTAATAGACATCTTTGCAAGACCAAGCTAAAAGTTAGATAAAAATTAGGTATCATAACATATAAATCCATAAATCTATAGCTAAACTTAACAAATGAAGTCGCCACCAACCTTTTTTTACAAGGTGTGATTGGTCACCTAAGGAATATATTCTTTTAAGGAACTCCTAAGCTTGACTAAGGGTTCCTAAAAGAATAGATTCAAGTCTACAAATCAGAGCTGGGTTTAGGAGTTTCGATTACATATGAAAAAAGTTATAGCACCTCCACATACCCATCCAAAGGATGGTACCATTTTATTTTAAATTTATCATAAAGTCTTTATTCTAATAGTCTTAAATTTTATATTGAATATTAGAAATAATTTTTAAAATTCTTTCATCAATATGGTAGAACTCTAAAAAATATTCTCTCACTTTGAAAGTATTCAAGAATCTCATTTATTTTCTTGAAGAGACTCTATCATCAGAAAATGATTTAATTATTTATTTTTCTTGAAAATATATCTAATTATTTCACCATTTGGGCTTATTTAGAAATTCTTTTTTGTTTCTCATGTTTTTTTGAAAAGAAAATAATATGACAATTATTGTTTTATTGAAATTTCATTTAAATTCCTTCACCATTTGAGATAAATTTAAAGAAATTTCTCACTTAGAGATTTCTTAAGAAATTTACCATTTGAATTTTTTAAGAATCTCATCCTTGGATAATTGTCAAATATTTTCAACTAAAAATTTTTAATTGAAAAAGAATACAACTACTTTTATTGAAATTTCCTTTAAATTATTTCACCATTTGGGACAAATTTAGAGAAATTTCTCACCTCAAGATTTCTTAAAAAATTTATCATTTGAAATTTCTAAGAATCTCATCATTGGATAATTTGTATTTAATTCTAAAATTTTATTAATATTTTTTATTTTTTTGTTTGAAAATAAACACTAATTATTGTTATTGAAATTTTATCTAAATTATTTCACCATTTATGATAAATTTAGATAAAATTTTTCACCTATGAATTTTATAAAAATTTACTATTTGAAATTTTTATAAATTTCATTATTGGATAATTAATATTTATTCTCAAAATAATATTTTATTTTTTTTATTTTTAAAATTTTCTAAATTTAATCATGCAAAAATACTTAAAAAATAAGTAAAATACTAAATAAAATAAATAAAAAATACCAAAAAAATAGAAACGGCTCAGCTGGAATGGCTCGATGCGGCTTAGCTCCAAGCACAGAAAACGGCTCAGAATACAATTCAAGAAAATCAGCTCGGCTCGACTCAAAGTTTTGGATAGGACTTGGGTCAGCAAAGTGGGTTGCACTCGGGTCGGATTGGCCTGAATAGAAACACGCGGATTCTTTGGCTTTTTAACCCTCAAAATGACATCGTTTGGACTAGCTATGAAAGCCAAAATTAATTTTTTCCCTTAGATTTCCTTTCCCCCTCTTTCTCTTCCTTCATTTATTTTACTCTCTCTCTAGAAACCTAGGATTTCGATTGAATGCTTTACCAAAAACTAGGAAAAATTGTAAAAAAACTAAAAAATGTCGTCAGAAAATTCAAGTTTCACCAAAATATTTCATCGAAATTTGAGAATTTTTCAAAAATTTTTAAGAAAAAAATCTTCAAAATTTCCTTTTCTGATTTTCTTTTGCTAATCTCGACTTTCTACTAGATTTTTCTAATCTTTTTGTTTCTATGTTTTTTATCTCTGTCTGTTCTGTTGCTGTGTGTGATCCCCCTCTGTTACTGTATGGGCATATATTTATAGGGTTTCAAATCTGAGAACCTTAAACCAAAAAAGATTTTAGTCCCTGTTAAGTTTTAACTCTAAATTTTAATCCAACTTAAACTCCTCATACAATTTCATACAAACTCAACGCCTATTTTTTCTTTATTCTCATTTTTCATTTTTTTATTTTTTTTAATCTTTTTATTAATAGAATTAATCCAAATAGACCCCCAGACAAATTGGGGTATCTATATTAGGTTAAAATAAAATACTATGAGGTTACTTTATACCTACCTCAGTATTTTATACCATTTATTACTTTTGGGGAGGTCAGCTCGTGAGTATCAATGACGAGCTTTCCTTACGGGTATACTTTAGTATTTTGTCTCGATTTGATAGTTTCAGGATGAAAAAGGCCACTGGTGCATCCACAAAGACATCGGGTCCATTTATTATCTCTCATGTCTTAACCTCGACAGTGAACCCAACCTTTAGCTCACCATCTTTATTTACTTTTTGTTTCTTGAGGTAAATGAATAGTAGCTTCCAATTTGTTATTAAGCTTGGGTAATTGGCAAATAAATTTTTATTGGGCTGAGCTATTATGTAGTACCACCTATAATCACTAAGGTGATTTTTAAGGAAAAAAAATTTGGAATAAATGGGGAGTGGGAAAAATGTTCAAATGTTGACAAAGAATAATAAAACCTATTATGTACCATATAAAGTTGGAAATAAGCTAAGTAATAGTTAAATTATAAGAATTAAAAATTGAAACAAAGGATGAAGTGGGAACTTTATACTAGCCACAAATGAATCGAATATGCATACAATCGATATGGTTATAGTCTATCAGTGATATGATCTAAAGAGTTTGATATTAATATGCTATACCCCTCTTTGAGAAAAAGAAAAATTGTTTCTAAAGTGTGGATGTGATGAATTGAATACATATTAGGACAATCTTCAAGATTAGCCCTACCCTTTAGTTCCCTATTTACATCATTAGAGATCATATCGAGGTCATAAGGAGTATATACAAAAACCTTCGTCAGTCATCTTGCCCTATAAAATCCCTCTCCTTATCGTCACTTTCCCTAACAGAAATGGTTCTTTCCTTTTATTCCTTTTTGGGACCCTCCTTATCATCAAAATCTTCACCGCTAGAAAACTATGACTCCTGAATAGGAGTAAGATTCTAAGGTGGAACTATAACTGAGAACAACTCGACCTTGGGGGAAAAAAGATGAGGTAGAGATCCTTTAGGAGAAGAAGTAATCTCAACAAGAATTGACCAAGGTGGAATAAAAGTGACAAAGGAAACAACAATTGGTTGGAGAGCATAAATAGAAGAAATTTGATAAGACTAAGCTCTAGAAAGGGGAACAGCAGAAGATGAAGAAAAATCGACCATAGAAGATAGACTAACCTAAAAGAGAAAAAAATGAGGTGGATTCTATATTTCAAAACATATCTTAGCACATAGTTCCTTTATGCTTAAGACCCATTCTGCTTTTACCCGAGCATTATCCTCGTTTTAGTGCTACCCTTCCTTAGACATCATATTGAACCAAAAGGCCATCTTCTGGTAATCACGACCTTCGATGACTAGTGGAATCAGGTCATCACTATCTTGCTTGAGCTAACCTCCTTTAGGTTCTACCTTAAAATTCTCGACCTTCCCAAAACTTAAACTGGAGGGAATAATTGAGAGTACGTATCCAAAAAAACAAAGAAAAAAATAACTTTAAGGCCAGAAAGCTTGAAAATAAAAAAATTTAGATCTAACTTAGAGCAAAAAAAGTAGAAAGTGAAAAACGAAAGCCCCCACTGCCTTTATATAGCCATATCGCAGATCAGATTAATGACACAGACCCCGTCACGTGTCAGAGCAAAGATGGGAAGATGTCATTTTGTCTTCTCTTTTTAAAATTTTTTGCTCAAACTACCTCTTTTCTCATTTAATGCCGACAGATCAGTTAAACTGGATGAACCTCTGGTTAAACCGACTAGACCGGACATTTCCCCAGGATAGATCAAATGCCCATTTTTCATCGGAGTTTAAAGTAAGGACTTGAATTCAAACTCTTGAAATAAAAGCATAAGTCTCATGTCGACCAGATAAACTCTAACACTAATATTAGATCATCTTGAATAATTAGCACGTCAATGACCTTCAAGCTGACAATGCACTCAACCTAAGACATATGCACAAGATCATACCCCATAAGGTCAGACCACAGCTCAAAGCTAATTGTCCCCTAATACCAACTCTTTCTATGACATCAGCTTCAAAGAATCAAATTTCACATCATTCTTTTTTGCCTACCTGTCTTACACCGGATGTGTCGATCATACATCCAACAGTTTGATACTCAGACTGTTTGATGCGAGGATAGAATGTTGGAGGTATTTAGTGGTCAAAATGGTATAATGGTATTTTTTCTTATTAGAAACCTTTAGCAGACAATCAAAGGTAATTTTGATATTTATACCGACCTGACATGTCGGTCTGTTTGACATACCTAGTGCTATATTAGCTTGGCACTATTTTTATTATCTCCTAATGGTCCCCATCACTTATCTATAAATGTAAAAGTTCAAGCAAACATTGAGGCAATTTCAGTCTACCCATGTTTCTTCTTATTATTCTCCTTTTGATCTCATATATTATGAGTTACACATTAGAGTACAAATACAAGGAACACTTTTTGCTTTTACTTCTAACCATTTTTATTTTCTATCTTTTTAAGAATAACTTGAGATCGAAGCTCGACACAAACATTAGTTGAAGTATGGTAAAAATGATAAAAACATACGGTTTTTTGAGGAAATTTCTCAACTTAACTGCATGTGCAAAATTGCTGTTGCTAAACCGCTAATGACAGGAGCTGATATGGACATTCTTGTTCATTATGTTTGTTATTGCAATCCAACTAGTTTTATTTATTTATTTTTAAATCCTTGTTGCAAGTTGAAGAATTGGGCTGGAGAATAATCCAGATTCACATGTTTTAGCTTTCTCTTTTGTTTAGTACGATTACAGTAACCAGACGTGTCCCTTTCCAGGCCAGCTTTCAACCCCTGCTTTCTTTTCGGATACCATAATTTAATGTACAAACCTTGTGTAAAAACTGCTGCTTAATAAGCAACTTAGGCTCCATTTGGGCCCCCATACATATAGTTCTTCTTTTGGCCAATCACTCATATATAGAGTTTAGAATGCAATAATGGAGTCAGACAACATAGAGGTGAAATATTTTTACATTTACATATCATTTTCAAGTTTCAACTTTACAAAGAAAACAAAAATCAGATAAGATGTTGAACCATGGAACAAGATAGAAAAAGTCGGACAACTCCAAGAGTCAATGAAATCAAGAAAAGAACAAAAATGAAATGGAATAAGAAAATTCCTCATGGCAAGAAATTTAACAAGGAGCAGCAGTTTCACATGAACTTAGAAGTTGTTCCAAGTAATCAGCTCCTAAATCCTCCAACACCACCAAGTTGTTTCGTTGTTGCCTTGCGGTCTGGTGTGGTTTGCTTTTCTTGTTCTTTGAGCTTTTTCTTATGGAGTGCCTCTTCTTCAGAGCCATAACAGGGGAGCAACCCGCCTCACATCGATACTTCATGTCCTGAAGCGATTCCCTGACAATTTCTATTGGGAAATTGAGAGTAGCCAATGAACCTCTCATTGAAAATGCTGCTTGATCGTAAGCTAAAGCAGCTGCTTCAGCGCTGTCAAATGTTCCTAGCCACACCCTGACACCATTTCTCGTTGAATCTCTAATCTCAGCTGCATATTTCCCCCACGGCCTCTTTCTCACCCCTCTGTAATTCTTTTCGTTCTTGGGTAATTCTTCATGTTTAGTTACCTCTTCCTCCTTTACACCTGAGGATTCTTCAGGTCCTCTTTCAGCCAACATATCCACCCAAGTCATTTCTTCAAAGTCATTGAAGTTGAAAGGAAGAGAATTGTGGTTGAGAAGAAGCTCATCCCAGCAACTACAAAAAGGCTCTGGCGAGCCAAACGATGATTCAGGGGAGAACTCTGGAGTTGAGTTTTGTAAGAAAGAAGACTCCTCCATAGCTGGGTGAAGTTAATTCTTGCAAGATCACTCTCTTAGCTGTGTGCTTCAGAATTTGCAGAGGTTGTTCTGTTTGTTCTTTCACTGGCAACTGATGACAAACTATGTTTTGGTTTAACAACATTTGAAAGTACCCAACCCTCTATATAAAAGAATTTAAGGGCAGATTTTGAACAAGAAATATTAACAAAAAACAAACACAGATTAAAATAATGAGAAAAGATAAAAACAAAGAGCAACAACGCACGCGAGTCAAAATGACGCACGGCGGCGGGGTTGGACCCAAAATTACATAAGATGTGATGCATATTGTTTGTCGGTATTTGTTAGCCATTTGTCAGTATAATATGGCAGGGAATTTCCTCTTTATTAGGAAGGAGCTGTGAAAAATAGAAGAGTTGGAGACCATCTATGCCTAATTGCTTGTTAATGAATTAAGCTAACACAGATTTTTTTTTGTTAAAAAAACTTAAGGAAAATTTATTTTTTCCGTCTCATTTTAAGTGTTTATCTTTCTTTAGATGTACCAAAATAAAATTTTTTACTTTAAACATTTTATATTCTTATTTTTCAATATTTAAAGTTTATTTTAATTTATTTATAATAAAAGATGGAACGTCAGTACTTAAAAAAATTGAATTTATAATATTAAATAGATAAAAATAAAAATTTTTTTAAAATGCGTGAAAATCAAAGAGACTCTTAAAATAAAGCAAAAGAAAAATATTTTAACAAGAGATTGTAAAGCTTGAAATCTAAACTCTTTTTACCTTTTATCTTTACGCTAAACAAATAAATAAAAGTTTACATAAAATAATTGGTATCGTTTTACTTGCAATATATGGTTTGTTAATGAAAGCTCTATCTTGAAATTTATTGAGTAGCAACACACTAATTTTTTTTTATATATAAAAAGGGATCAAATTACCCTATTTTTGTGAAAATATCAAGGGTGTTTAAACGAACAAAACCATTTTCGAATCTACAAAAAAAAATGTGATCATTTTTTTTTTTAGGGGCATCATCATCATCATCATCATTCTAGAAAGAAGGATAAAAGGCTTTGAGACATGCGGGACAAACAAAAAATTAAATGTCTCTGTATGAGCGATAAAATTTTATTTGAATGAATATTGAGATTAAAAATAATAATAAAAATAAAATTAATTATTATAATGATAAAAATAAATTTAATAATGAGAATATACGTTTAGATATAAATGCAATAACAATGATAAAATAAATTGCAATAAAAACAAAAATGATTATTAAAAGCATTAAATTAAAATTTATATGTAATAAAAATTTAAATTCTAACATAATAATATTTTTATTTTTTAATATAATAATAAGTTTTATATTTTACTAATTTATTATGTAATTTATTTTTATATTAAATTAAAAAAATTATTTTATAATTTCTTAAAGTAAAAAATTTAAGTAAAAACAAAAAGAAAGTGATTGTCCTTAAGATAAATACAAAAAAAAAGCACCCTCAATTAAGTATTAAGATAGTATTTGGTTTCATTTTTTAAGATTATCATGATAATGCAATGACCAAAATGATTTTATTATCAACATGATCTTATCATTCATAATTTAAAATTATTTGTTTGGTTAGCAATTATTAATTCATATAAATTAAAGATTATTGTGTTTGATATTACTAAAAATCAAATATTATTTTATTTAAAGGTACAAAAATAATAATTCTTATTATAATAATTACACAAGTTAATAATTTTAATATTGTTTAAAGATAATAATTCATAAAATATAGTAATATTTTATTTATTTTATAATAAATATAATTAAATTATTAAATATATTTATTTATTAAGTAAACTAATTTTTATAATATAAATTATGTAAAAAAATTGAATTAGAAAATAAAACTAATCTATTAACATTATAATAAAAAAACAAAAACATTATATTAGATATAAAACATTAAAAAATAAAAAAATACACAACATATTTTTAAACTTATTATAATGAATATTAATTTAAAAAAATAAAAATTTATAATATAAAATAATTACAATTTTAGAGAAATTGTAATCTAATCACCAAATGTTTAACAAATATGATAATTTAATCACTATATATAGATCACCATAAATTTTATAATGATTGTTATTCCATATCAAACACTATCTAAAAGGTTTTCTCTTCATAAAAAAGATTTATATAAAGTTTAATAAGTAAAGTTTGTAAAGTTTCTTAATACAAATGAGTAAATAAAAATTAAAAATCAAAATTGATAAATTTAAAGATTTTATCACATATATTGAGTGTGCAAAATTTTAAAAAATTAAAAAAAATTTATATATTTATTAAATAGATATTTTTAATAAAAATATTAATAAAATTTTTATTATTAAATAAGTATCGATCAAATTTAAATTATAAATAAAATTTTTATTAAATTTTTTTATATATTATTAGGTTTCACGTTTACTCTATTAATTTATCAATTTAAATTTTTTATTTATATTTAATAAAAAAATTCCATTTACTTTATTTACGTTACTTCATATAAATTTTCTCTTCTCTGCTGTCATCAATTGATGGTGCAGACCGATAAAATGTCCAATCGTGTCGCACAAAAGAGAAGCCGAATGAGAGGTTAGTGGTGTTGAGGCCAAAAAGTGGCCCATACTTGCCGTACCGACCCTCGTGACCTTCAAATGAGGCCTAAAGGCTGAAAAAAATATCGATTGTCCTTAACATTCCATGAAACAAGAGAACGAATTGAACCCTACCACTCATTCACGATCACGAGTGACCATGAAGAATTATTCATCGATTAATTTTCATTTCACATTTTTTTCATGTAAACTGTCCTTTTCTCATATATCTAATTAACCGTCGCTTTCCAAGTTAACTTCCTGCACAAGGCGATTTTCTGGCAAATCAAACCACTAATCATATCTAGCTCTAAAGTCCTGTTGCGGTTAAAAATAATATAATTAAAAATTTTAAATATTTGATATTATTATTAAAAAAATATGTAAATTAAAATATACAACTAATAAGTATATTTTGATTATTTCAGGTGTCGGTCAATTGGTTAAAAATTTTTTTTTTGGTAAGATAGTGATTTCTAAGGTATTTGAACGTATTGTGAACAATCTAATTAATAAGGGTACAAGAATTCATGTGAAAGGGGACCCTTATCTTATCAAGTGTTTAAATCAACTCGGCAAGCTTAAGCTATCGTCCATCTGTCATTTCTGTCAACAACAACTGCATCCAGAACGATGAGCTCATGATCATATATGCGTTGTGAATTTAAGTCATATTTTTCTTCATGTGCCAAAAAAAAAAAAAATTCATTCATCAAAGTTCTATAAGTATGCAAGAAATGACCAGAGGGCATGCTTTCCATCTGTTGAACGGAAAAGTTGGTCTAGATTCATGCCCCCTTAATCTTGAAAGCTTTCATAAAGATCTTCAGATAAAATTAGTTGAATTTTTTCAAGTCCTTCCATGGGGTAAAACATATTGCTAGATGTTCTAGTGGTCTAGTTTGATTGACACGGCTCTCTAGTCCTTATTTTCGTTCAATTAAGTCATTTCATTTTCAATTTAGAAAAAAAAAATGTAAAACGACCACACATTTTTTTTTAAATTCTTTGATTTATTTTTAAATCTTTTATCTTATTACTTATCTAATTGAAAAAAAATATTACATGCATAAATTCTTTTAAACCGATAACTTTCAAGTGCCACGACACACTTAAGTATATTAAAATGTCTCAAAGCAAATAATTACATGTAACTTTTGTTTGAATTATAAAAAGTGACAAATGTAATAACTATTTATGTACTAACCATACATTTTTTATTGAGCATTCCCTAAATTAAAAATTTAAAAATTAATTTAATTAATTCATGTAATTATTTTAATAAGTCGAGTTCAACGAGTTTAAAATTTAAATTTTAATAATTATAATTATTTTTCATATTCTCAAAATATAATATCTTTTATATCAAAAGGTGATAATATCTTCAATAGTCTTTAAATTATAATAAAATATTTATTATTTTTTCTAAATTTTAAAAATCTTTAATATGATATATGAATTATAAATCTATTTATTAATAATGTACTTGAAAGATTATTTGTTAGTCATGTTTTATCATTTAGAGTTAAGTACAATAAAATAGATATCACATTAATTAGTAAATTATAATTTAAAATTTTTAAAATTTAAATATCATATTAAATACTTCCTTTGTCTCAAATTGTTTAGTTGATATTGACTTTCATGAAGTTAAAAAAAAATTTTTTTAACTTTAATATATTTAATATTAAATTAATTTTTTTTATAAAATTAAAACTTCCTCAATTTTTAATATAAAAAAATCATAAAAATAATTTTAAAATATATAAAAAAAGAGTTTTAAATATTAAAAAAATAATTTTAAGAAATACGCAAAATAGATAAAAAAATAAAAATATTATAATTTAAAAATAATAAGTGACATTAACCCCTCAAAAAATTCAAAACTTGACAAAGTGTGGCTACACATTCAAGATGAACAATAGTACCCATCATATGACTGTCATTTTGAAATTTGATAATTTTTTTAATCCAAAAGCAATAATATAGGGCCCGAGAACTCCACGATTCATCGCACGTAGTCACTTCCTACATTACATATTCAATATTTTAATGCTATCATAGCTTTATTGGGCCGTCGATCATATATTCTATCAAAAGCACTGATAAAGGAGGTAAATTGGTTGAGATTAATTTTATTATTTTCTTTGTTTTAAAATGTTTGTTATATATCAATTTTTATAGAATTAAAAAAAAATTTAATTTTAATAAATTAAATATTAAAATTTAATTTTTTTATAAATTAAAGTTTCATGATTTTTAATATTATTAAATAAAAAAAAAAATAATTTTAAAATATAAAAAATAAATATTTTAGACATTTAAAAAAATAGCATATAGTTTTGAGATATCTAAAAAAAAGAACAAAAAAAGAAATAAAGGGAATTTATTTTCAGGAGAGAAAATAAACCTATATTTTTTAAAATTTTAATTTAATTTTAAATTCCAAACTTAATATATTATCTGAGTAAAAAAATATTATGTATATAAATATTTTTAAATTGATAATTTTTAAATATCAATTTTAATAACAACTTGGATAAAAAAAATTAACCTCGCAAGTAGGAAGAATTTATAGGGAAGAAAGTAGTGAAAAGTTGCTTTAATGGGCCAATCAAATTTCAGTGGTGAAAGCAGATGGCAACTTGTTGGTTGCTGTAAGTAGTCTTTGATAATTTGTGTCATTATATCATATAAAATATTATATTTATATTATATTTTATATTAAAATTTTAAATCATAAATTATATTGATATAAAATTATAAAATATATTTTTTATTTTATTAAATTTATTTATATATTTTTTAAAATTTTAACTTATGATATTTTTATATTTTTAATTTATATTATTTTTATATTATATTATCGTTGATAAATTTAGTTGCAAGTAAAATTCATTGGAAAAGAAATGGGAATAGGGTCGGCTGCAGAAAATTTTTCGTTCAACGCTTTTGGGCCACGTGTATGACACGGTTCAATTAAATTTAGATTGTTAAAATTTGAAAAGAAATTATAATGGTTGAAATTTAAATGTGGAACCAATAAATTAAACACACATATATACTAGAAAAATTAAGAGCGAAGGTGACACACCAAAATAATTAACTTCTTAGAGGTGGTTGGCAAGAGTCGTACATAGAAAACAAAGATGGGATTCCCTTTATCTGCTTAATTCCATTTTTAATTATCTTGTCCCTTTACATGATGGCCCTGTCCAGCAAAATTCATCAGAGGTTTGAAAATCTTACCTTCCTCGTCATAGCTCCAGACAATTCCATATCGATCTGAGTAAAATTACGACAAAAGTATGGCTTAAGTAGTTAATTAGTAAACAATTAGCTGCTGACCCTTAATTTTAATGATAACTTTTTAAAAGCTAATTTGGTAGTGGGGACGAAGGATCAAGAGCGGTCCCAGGGCGATGTCACCCACGAAGGAATTTGGGCTAAATGCGTTGCACAAGAACTGTTTTTGGCAGGTAATAAAAATCGTAATATAGAAGTGAAAAGTGAGCATTATTAATTAAATGTCTCCATTTTGTCATTTTTATAAGCTCTACTATATATTTTCCTTTTTCCTTTGCCTAAGAAAGGCAAAAATATCAGGTTCTAGGAAGTTGTTGGAGACAGACACCTCGTTTTAGGACATGATGACTGGCAAATCAGAGAGAGCTTGCGGAATAAAGAAAAGGAACCATGTTTGAAAATCAAAACATTTGAGATAGTCAAAGAGAAAGAGACTTTCTTTTTCTATTTGAACGGCGGAAAAGAGATGTGAATACATACATACATATATATATATATATATTATAAATTTGGATCTCTAAACCGATGCGGGAGCTAAAATTGCAAAACCAGACAGAAAAGGAGTGAGATTTGAACCCAAATTGTTGGTCAAGTGGCTTGGTCCAATAATTAGAGCTTTCACGAATAGCTTGTAATTTAAAACACCATAGATGATAAAATATAAAAATGATATAAAATATATATATATAAATGATGCAAATTAAAATTTTAATAAAAATTATACATGCGGTTTAATAAAAATTAACAAATATAATTCATATTTTTTGTGTTTGACGTTAATTGTGATACTTAATTTTTATATAAAACTCAATATAAATGCATAAATCATCAAAATTTTATATGAAATGAATTCATGAATTGCAACAAATCCTCTCTAATTTTAAATTATGATAGAAAACGCTTGCTTAAAAAAAAAAAAAAAAAACCTTATGGTCGCAATTCTCATACTGCCAATGCGCATTTCTAGCTATCGAGGGTAACGGGCTTGGGCTGATGAAACTAGAGAAACACTCATTTGCTAACATGGAAAAAAAAAATTTCTTCATTAATACCACAAATTTTCAGATTTAGTTTTGGTTAGTGGCTCAAATATGTGGAACGAATCGAACTTTTGATACTCATATCCAAGAAAGTTTCCTAGCAACAACAAATTCCGATCGTCAGGTATGACCTCACCTTTCGGACCTTTGGTCACCCTTGACCCCGTTCTCTCGTTCTGAATCATAGTTATCCATGTCATATATAAACGCTATCCATTTCTATTTTACAAACATTCCATACATTTTTTGACGACAAAGTTGCAAATTTGGAAACTCATCAATTCTTCTTCATTCGTACACTTGGAAACACCTAACAAATGGAAGCATCTCAAGGAGGGAAGAAGACAGTGAACAATGGGAAGGGAAATGGGGAGGTTCGATACAGGGGCATTCGCCGGAGGCCATGGGGAAAGTTCGCGGCGGAGATTCGAGATCCAACGAGGATTAAAGCACAGCTGTGGCTAGGAACTTTCCAAACGGCTGAAGAGGCTGCGAGGGTTTATGACAGGGCTGCATTTGCTTTCCGGGATCACTCAGCTATTCTCAACTTCCCAAACAAGTACCAATATCAGAATCCAACCTTTCCACCGCCTTTGGCTTCTTCAGCTACTTATTCGGGTGGCAGAGGGGATCCCCCTAGAGGACGAGGAAATGAAGTTATAGAATTTGAGTACCTGGATAACAAGTTGTTAGAGGATCTCCTTGAAAGTCAAGATGATAGACAAGGTCTATAGAATAATCAACCATGGCAATAATTTATCTGTGTTTTTCCACTGTCAGCAGGGAAATTTCGTTTACCCATTTCTGATTTTCATTCTTTTCAAATCTTTATTGAAACTGCAAATTTGTATTGAAAAGTTCATTTAGAGGAGTTTTGTATCTTTATTGAAAAATTCGCATGGCCCTGGTTGTTGGTAGAGTGTTGAAATTTTAATAACTAAAGTTCAGTCAAATTATCGAAACGTCAAGTCGTCAAGTATAAAAAAGAAAAAAACCAAGATCCAAATATAAAAATTTCTAGAGTGGCTCGTGGTGTAATTATTTTTGGGTCTAAAAGAGAAAATAGACATTTTCATTAACAATATTTAATGATATTTTGGATTTTTTGGTGAAACGGACATGTCAAGTCGACTTTGATTTACTGGTCCACTAAGATCAACTTCCTCATCGGTCGAGACCTCCTTTGACGTTGATTTGTCATGCCTAAGTGGATAATCAATGTTAGCCCAATTCGGACCAACTAGGTCATTCTTAATATTAACCCCTTTATTACAAGTATAAATAACACCATTTAGATAACATTTATTCATATTATTTTCTCTACTTTCGTATTATCTCCTTTCTATTTGTTGCTGTGATCGGTCTCTAACTTGTATCCAAACGCAAACACTGATCTCACTCTCAATATTAATTTTTAATCGCTCTCTTTTTCTCTCTTAATTTAAGAATTTTATCCTTTGAAGACAGTTCGATACAAACAGCTCTCAAGGTCAAAATCACATGCACTGGATAAAAAGAATTCGAGCAAAAAAGGCCAGACTTGATGGATAGTGATGCAGAGTGCATCAACGATTCAACGTAATTCAATTGACGGGTTTTTTTTTTTTTTTTCAAAGAAAACCAATAAAAAAAATTAGCCAAACAAGCAAAAGTAAATGTCAGGGTATCCATACGGGGCCCTGAAATGGTCTGAAATGTTCTTTAACTACTTTTTTTCAAGTAAATTGATAGAGGCTAAAATTGACAAGGAAATATCAATATTTCCAGGTTTCGCATTCCTGGCTCTCGCTCCTCCACTTAGTTTCCTCTTGTTGGCTTCTTCCTTGGCGTTGTTTGAGCTTGAAAGAGAGCAATTGCTTCACTCTGGCATTTATGGAAGGTGGCAAACGCAGACAATCGACCATTAACAAATGGAAGGTTGATATAAACCATCCAATTAACGGATGCCAAAAGTTTTCAACATGCCAAAGAACTTTCAGACAGAGATACATTTTAGTACAACGAATATGGATGATTCAAGCTTTTTGTCTATATTTTAACAAATTGTTTGCAAATGTTTAATCTTATTGTTATTCTTCAATACATTATTTTTTTCCCTGTTGATTCAAACAGGTTGAAGTTGGTGCAAGGGATACGATAATCATTTCAATTAATTATCCCTTAATAGATACACAACAGCAATGTTTAGGATATAACAAATATATGTTTTGGGGCGTCGTTTAGTCGTTGGATCAATAATTTCTTTTTGCGCAGCATAAGTGATCGTTAGCGGCCAGTGAGGTCAGTCCATTACGTTCGCTAAATTCATCATCTTCATAACATTATTCTTCGTTATGCTAAATCAGGAATTAATAATAAGATGAAAAAAGCATAGTGGTCCTTGGGAACACTAATTTCTTAATTCAACTTCTCTTTTCCAAGCTTACCTCACAATTTGATTCGTTTGATATAGTTGCCATGCTTTCATATGGGGGAGAGATAATTTGATTGCATCAACTTGTTTGATCACCATGCATGGTTATGTCATTGTTTCCTTATGTCACTTGATGATGATCATCTAGATTAATAGAAGCATAACAATGGAATCTAAATTCTCAAACAAGCTGTAACCGATTAAAAAAAATGAAAGTATATAGGTGTTAGGGGCATTTAGTGGTCAAAAGGGTATAGTGGTTTTTTTTCTTGTTAGAAGCCTTTAGCAGACAATCAGGGTTAATTATGATATTTGTGCCAAAATGACATGTCAGGTCCGTTTGACACACCCAGTGCCACATCAGCTCAACACTATCTTTATTGTCCCCTAATAGTTCCTTGTCACTCATCTATAAATATGACGGTCCAGGCATCCTTCAGGCAAGTTCATCTTACCCCTAATTCTCTTTATTACTTTTCTTCCAACATAATTTATTTTGACTTATGTGTCATAGTGCAAACACAAGAAATTCTCATTGTCTTTGCCTCTAACCATCATTCTCTTTAATCTTACCAGGAGTACCTTTGAGATTGGAGCTCGATACAAACATTTGGCGCATCGGGTAAGGGACTTTCCATTCACTAGCCGTACATGAAACAATGTCACCAAGGAATAGAACCTTAGAGAAAGGAGAGATAGCTATCCCGACTGGAATAGAAACACATAATTATCAATACTTCAAAATGACCTACCCCACCATAGACAGGCCCAATCATAGAACAATTCCAATCCTTAATTGAATAGACATAGGCCTTTAAATAGATGTTGTAGACCGTAACTCTACCACAAGCCTCAAAAGTGCTTAACCTAATCACCCTTGGTCGAGGAGTCATGGTAAGACAAACAAGCTATGAAGAAATTGAGGCCTTTTTGGCCTCCAGAGAAAAGGAGCACAACACCTTAGTTCACCATTACCCCAACCATAACTCGACACATGCAATAACCCAAAAATCCAAACAGACAAACCCTAAACTCCAACCAAACAAAGACTTGGAAGTTTGGATGTAAGCCATGGAAAAAGAGTTTAAAATAAAGGTAGTGGCATTAGAGGACAAGCTCAAGTTCCTGGAAACCTCACTTTTCATTGAAGAAATTGATAGAGTCATACCCCCAAAAGGATTTAAAATATCGACCTTGGAAACTTATGATGGTACTTCTAATCTTTTCGATCATTTGAATCTTTATAGGACTAACATGATGATGTAAGGTATAGCGAAGCCCTAATGTGTAAAGGCCTAGCTACCACTTTGAAGGGCACAGCTCGATCCTGGTACAATGGCCTAGAATCGAGGTCAATTACAATGTTCAAAAAGCATAGCCACTCTTTATTATCAAGATTTGTGAGTAGTCGAAAAGTGAAAAAGACAACTCTGAATTTGATGTCGATCCACCAAGGTCATAATGAATCTTTGAAAAGATAGCTCTACAAGTTAAAGACTTAAAGCAAATAGCCATTATAGTCGCCCTGACAAGTGGACTTAAAGATAAAAAGTACCACCTGAAGTTAACCTTGTCACTAGAACCACTTAAAACTCTAGTCGACGTCCTACTGATAGTTGAAAAATATATAAATGCTAAAGCTACAATAAAAAATAACCGAGGTGAGATAGGCTTTATCCCTCTTCTCAATTGTAAAAAAGACAATGATTTTTATGATTTTCTCCTAAGAGGAAGATGGCATCGGACTAGAAGCCCCAATAGAGAAAGGAACTACACTACACTAAATACTTCCTAAGAGAGGATTCTAATGCAAATTGAAAGAAATTTTAACCTTAGATGGTCGAAGCCACTAAGACAGAATACAATGAGAGATCTAACAAAAAATTATACATTTCATAAGGATGTAGGCCATAATATCGAAGACTACGTTAACCTAAAAAATGAGATCGAAGCCCTGATAAAAAGAGGTCAGTTGAGAAGATTTGTAAAGTAATGAAGATAGGGCTAACCCAAAACAGGTTATGGACAAGAATAAAGAGAGCCCACCTAGGGCAAAAAGAGAAGGCCACAAAATGAAAAAAAAAGTTTGAAGAGATGAGCCAATTTAAAAGAGGTCTAAATTGATAATAATAGATCGATCACTAAGGTGATTAATATGATCACTAGAGGTAGCTCTACTTTGGCCAAAAGAAAGTTCAATCAAGGCATAGTCATTGTCGTAGGCACTTCAATAAAAAAAGATGAATCGATTTTATTCAACCTAAAAAACTTGAAAAAAATCTAGTACCCATGATGATACTATAGTGATCATAGTCATAGTATACAACTATGTAGTCAAAAGAATCCTGTTTGATAATGAAAGCTTGACCGATGTCATGTACTACAGCATTATGAAAACAATGGGAATTGGTGAAGATTAGTTACAATCGATCACCACAACACTAGTGGGATTTGAGAATGAATAGGTACTGGTGAAAAGAACCATTAAGCTATCAATTTCACTAGGGATAGAATCGAAAATGATCACCTCGATCACAAAATTTATGGTTATCGATGTTCCATCAACTTACAACATGATATTGGGTTGACTTAACCAATATGTTATGTGATTTATAAGCTTAGCTCTCTATTTGAAAGTAAAATTTCTAACAACCAACGGGGTTGGAAAGGTCAGGGAAGACCAGTTCATGACACGATAGTATTATGTCATAATGATGAAATAAAAGATTGGGAAACAGATTGGTAGTTTGGTCGAGACCAAAAACATTGTGAAAGGGTAAATAGTGAAAGTCGACAAGAAGCAGAAAGCCATAAGTAAGAACATAGAATATAAGATTGACCTAATAGAAATGCACCCTTAAGCTGCTCCGAGCTCTTAAGCTAAAAAAACGTATTTTGTTCTATTTTTTGAAGTAACTCTAAAGACGACCAAGCCTTTAAGTTGGCATGGACAATTACATGTAATTTGAACTAAGCTAATACGTCGACCAAAATACATTATGAAATGAAAAATACATATCAATTTCACTACATATATATTTAGCAAGTTATCAATAATATACTGATCATCACGTCGGGATCTATATTCGTTGGAAATGATCTCGACCTAAGCAACCAAAAAGAGATAATTAATCAAAAATCAAACTCATATGAAAACTAACCTGAGCTGACCAAGGATCTCATAGCAATTTTGTTTTAAGATGGTGTCCCTAAAAAACATAGGTAGGTTAGAACCAAACTTCAATGTACGGGTCAGTTAATTTAACTTATGAGAGAGACAATACTGACTTGTTCACCTGAACACTATCCAATATGCCTGAAATTGATACCGAAGTAAAGCTCTATAGGTTGGATACTAATCTTGAGGTAAAATTAATTCAGTAAAAGAAAAAACCTTTGCTTTAAAAAGATAAGAGGCCACTGAGGATGAGGTTGATGAATTATTACAAGCAGACTTTATCAAAGAGGTCTATTATCCTGAATAGATAGCCAACGTGGTCATGGGCAAAAAGCATAGTGAAAAGTGAAAGATATGTGTTAACTTTACTGACCTAAACAAAGCATGCCCAAAAGATAGCTTTTTCCTCCCTAACATATATCGATTGGTGGATAACAGTGTCGAGCATGACCTTTTCAGCTTTATGGATGCCTATTCTAATTACAACCAAATCAAAATGTTAAAGGACAATGAGAAAAATATGGCATTTATTATAGTGAAAGGTTTCTACTGTTATAAGGTGATGCCCTTCGAATT